CTGAGCTAAACACTTGGAACAACTACAAGACTGAAATCTTGTATTAAAAAAATCCCTACCAAACAATTTCAGTTATTTTATGAAACAGCTGACCCACTGCAAGACCTCAGACAAAGTCTCTACCTCCTTCTGCATCCCAGCTGCCTCCTCTGTAACAAAGGAAACTACCATTCCACCTCACAGAAGGACAACTTTCCCATCACAGCCCATCATTCTTTACTTCCCCACTGAAAAGTAATTTCAGAAATACCTCCTGAAGCATTGGGGCTGGTAACAAAAGCAAATGATTGGCTTCTTCCACTGAACAAGGATCAAATAATAAAAAGGGCTGAGCAGAGCTGAGTTCCAATAGAGATGGGGGTGTGCAGGCTGCTGTTTACAAATACACACACAGAGACACACTAAATCCCCCCCCCAGAAAAACTCAGAGGTTAATTACCTTTTCAACTTGACCCAGTTTTTCCATCCACTCCTGAACAAGAAAGAAAGAAGAAAAAAGAAATAAAATTCAATCTGTAGACTTTCAAGGACATTTAATTATGGTTTAAAAAAAAATTGTATTGTTCACAGATACTAAGCTGTGGTAACAATTAAACAAAATATCAGCAAGACAACACTAAGAGCCAGTGCTTTGTAGGTGAAGGCTGAGGAATCATTTTTGCTACCTGAATAGGTAAGCTTTATGTAAGTAAAATAAAAGTGACAACAGGTCTATTGCAATTAATCTTATCAAAGCACAAGCTTAACCTTTCATCAGGAAATTTTGTGGGCCCTTGTTAAAACCAGTCAGAACAGTCAGAGCAGTTCTGGCACGGAACTCAGTGCTCCCTCCTTCCCTCAGTGCTGGCACACTCACACACACAATGCTGAACAATTATTTTAATTAATGGCAACACCTGCTTAAAACATCAGGGTCATGAGAGCCAAAAGTCATGCTCAAGCTGTTACCTTGTCCTTTTGTTCCAAGGCCAAAGCCATTCCTTCAGCCATCTTGGCTCGACTGGCCTGGTGAGCTTCATTCTGCTCCTGAAACTTCCTCATGGAGGCTATCAACAGAGAACCACCAGCTATATTAAAAACTGATCTTTTAAAATTGCTTCTCAGTTTTCTGTAAGTTATAAATAACTTTAAAGAGCTTGTTCTGCAAGTAATTAGCCCCATCTTGACTCCAGCACTAACGCTGTGCCACTCATTACTTCACGCTGTTTGCACACTGGCCAGAAGCCAAAGCTAACAGGAGACAGGACTCCTGCTCCTTGCTGGATTAGAACAAAGCTGTGGCTTTCTAAAAGGTCTCTCCTGAATGTTAGCCCCAAATTTGGCAAAAGGAGTATAATAACAACTTTGTTCAAGACACTACTGCTGCTTTTTGCACTGTAAATAAGGTAAAAACTCATGTTCTAGTTCTACAGAGTACAGAGGTGCACAGTCTGAAAGGAAATGATTAACACACCTGTACACCAAACCCCTTCCCTTCCAACCACAGCAATTTTCAACATAAAAAGAACTAAACAAAAAGGAAAAAAGTACGTACAATCCTGGTGCTTTTCTAAGGCATTTTCAAGCTTCTCTTTTATCTTCTGCAAGTTTCGGATCTGATCAGCATAATCTTGTGTGAGGAAGGAGAAGCACAGACCAGGAATGGACAGACAGTGGGAAAGGACATTTGGGGGGGGGAGGAAGAAAGAAAAAAGGATGAGTGGCAAAATGACAATGATTTTCTCAATCAGAAAATCATTCCTGCTGAGGAAAACTTGGGTGACCACAACAATGAACACAAGCAAACAGTTCTGTACTGTCCACAGGGTTGGCACAAACAGGAGGGCCTGTCCCGGAGGTGTCACTCACACAGACAAGGGCACAACCAGAGAATGAACAACTGTCCCCACTTTTTACTTCATTCCAGAACAGTGATCTATTTAATGCTGTTCAGGAAAGGTCTCTGGCATTGGAGGGTGCAAGGAAGGAGCAATTCATGGACATTGCACCCCTGTGCTCATTGTTCCAGCCCCACAGCACCCTCAGGCTGAGCCCTGACTGCACTGCCCTCGCTGCCCTCACACCCACCCAGCACACTGACGTGGGAGGCAGGGAATAAACACCTAACAAAGCACACACACACCCTGGAGAAGCTTCTGTGCAATGGAAAGGAGGATTCACTCACTGGTTGGGCTGCTTGCACAAAACTCTTGACATCAGAGCCCTCCTCTCTCTTGCTAAGCCTCAACCACCTTTAAGTTTACCTTGTGCAAGCAGGTGAGCACTTTGGCCTTTCAAATTCAGCATGAAATAATTTTTGAATCCTATATTTTCTTGAACTGGAGCCTGGTAAATCTCCAGAATAAATTAAAATAATCCTGAGCTGATTGTAACCTTTCCCTATTTTCCCAAGCCTTCCATGAGCTTTGGGAAGCAGCAGTGTAGCAGAGTTCAGCATGGTCTCTGGTTCCCTCCCTACAACAGGGATGCAGTGTCAGTGCCAAGCCCTCACTACAGCTTTGCAGAACAAGGAATTAGAAAGAAAAAAAGCCTCTGGACTGTTTTATGTTGAATTCTTTGCTTTTTCTTCATTTTCAAGCACACTTCTTTAAGGATGGCACTGTGTTACTGTCAGCATCAAAAAGCTCACACTCTGAGAAACAAACCATTGCATACACGTGAAAAATAAAAGTGAGGACAGACACTATTTGAAACATGGGGCAGAAAGCTATCCCAGCTGTTCCAAGGAATCACATAAATGTGTTGTGAAATCAGCAAAGAGCCAGTCATCCTCATAAAAAATCAGTAATACTGGATGCTCCCTAGATGCCAATCAACAGGGTTGCCACAAATCAATTTTCAAAGAACCCTAAACCCATGTATTTTGAATATATTAAACCACTTAAACTCAGAGGAAAATATTTTCTGCAGTAACAAGGTTTTGTATGTATCAGGACACATACCAGACAGCTTCACCTCCAGTTTTCTTATTTGTTCATTTCTTCTGAACAACTGGGATGAAAGATCCTCTCTGGAGCTGCTTCCATCAGAAGCCTTGGGAGAAAAGCAACAGTCATGTAACTTATCCAGAAAAAGCAATCCTGCCATACACTAACTCTGGGATGACAACCACTCTAGGAATAACACTTGTTTTTCACATAAAGGGGAAAGTTGTACAAGCACAGCAGAATGTGTAAAGAATGCTGAAGGAGAAAAAGAGCGAGGGCTCTAACAGAGGGCTGTGCCAGGCTGGCTGCTCCTGCAGCACAGAGCTGGGGAAGGGAGCTGGGGCTGGGAACTGTGTGTTCAAACTGGCACTGAGGTGCAATGGAAACCAGGCTCTGCAGCACAGGCACCAGGGAGGGTCAAGTGAGACTCCTGAAAATCAACGTAGTGAGAAAAGAAGCAGCAATGGTGTTCAGGTGGGATAAGCTCACTGCAGCCCTGATGCAGCAGTCTGTCCACAAAAACCCCGCTGCATAACTGGCTGATGATTCCTGGGGCATCTTCTGCTCCAGAAAAATCAATATTAAGAGCAGTTAAATGAATATTGATAAAACAACTAATTCTTGGAGGTTTTCTGAAAACCACTCAAGACTTCAGCCACTGCCATTATTTGTTTTCTGTTCTCTAAAGTCACAGGGTGGTGAAGGGAATTTCTACATGAGAATGTGTTAAGTGCTAAAAAAACACTCAGCAAAACAGAAGACTAATGTATTTCCATTACAGAATGTATTTAAACATTAGAAGCTCCCACTTTCTGCTTAACAGAACTGGAATTTCAGCTGAGCTTCAGAGAAACTGAGTTGGAGCTCAACTGTGCAAATAACTTCTTGACTTTGCAGACAGCAAACAGAGTCCTGCTGCTGGCTCTGCAGTGGGTCCTGCTGGCTCCAGCACTGGGGTGACACTGCCTTAATCCAGGCTTTCAAAAATGTGACAGCCAGGCATCCAGGGCAGACATGCCAGAGCATTCCAGGGTTTCATTTAACCCATGCACTCCTGGAACTTCACCACTTGTTTAAACAACGTTTTATAATGAAAGAGAGGAACTACAATAGTTTTGAGTGCAACGAGACTGCACACGAGGTTTTTGGCAGAGACACATACAGTGGCTCAGGTAGGAACAGTCCCAGGAAGCCAAGAGGTAAACCCAAATCCATGGCAAGATGAAAGCTGGCCAGATCTAGCTTGTTTTCCTGCTGGAAGAGAAGCTGTGGCTGCCCCATCCCTGAAAGTGTCCAAGGCCAGGTTGGACAGGGCTTGGAGCAACCTGGGATAGTGGAAGGTGTCCCTGCCCATGGTAGAGGGTGGAACTGGATGGTCTTTAAGGTCCTTTCCAATCCAAACCCTTCTGGGATTCTATGCTTCAGTAATTAATTTTACAAATAGGTACCTTACACATAACTACAGCTTCATTCAATATTTTACGTCTGTTTATCAACATTCTGTATTGAAACAGCTTTATAACTCACGTTTACATAGGAATAGAAGCCTCATGGCAACTACTGTGGTTCACATACAAACGTTTTCTCTTCAATGTTAAAGTTCATTCAAGCTAATGACTTATGCATTAAGAGGTGCACTTACAAAGACAACACAGTAAGTCTCACACACTACAGCTAAAACAGTCGTCTGCAGAGCCGTATTAGAAACACTGCCAGAGAAATCCGATTTCAAAGCAAGGTGTAACTCACAAAGTCGTCTCCCGAGTCTGCTCCCACCGACGTGATGGACTCCTTGCTGACAGACCTGGGGATCCGGCCAGTCCCTCCCGGCCGGGGGGCAACCGCTGTCTCCTCCGCGATCTTCTTCTTCAGCTTGGCAAACATTTTACTGCTTACAGTGCTGAAATATCCAGGTCCCTTGGAAACCCACGACCTCCACCCTTTAATACACTGGCACTCTGTTTAAAGCTTCCAGATGCTGAGATTTAATTCTGTGCCTCATCCACTGGTTTACTGCATTTCCAGTTCCATTAAAGCCCTCACGGCCTGACAGTACCTGCAAATCAAGCAGAAATGGGTTCCACACTAAAAATCCCACCCGCACGAGTCATTTAAAGGAACCTGAACGCCCTTTAACATCGCATCTGTTACAATACGTTAAAAAATCGGGTCACGCGGCGCAGAACCCGTTAAAGCCCCAAACCAACGGCCCCAAACGGTGACAGCGCCGGGGGGAGCGGGCGGGTCCCCTCAGCCCGGCCCCCGACACCCGCCGGGGAGGCCCGGCCCGGCCCGGCCGCTCGGCCCGTGGCGGCCGCTCCGCTCTGGGCACCGAGGGCCCGTCCCCGCCGCTCACCCGCCCCCAGCCCGGCCCCTCACCCTCACGGCCCCTCACCGCCCATGGCCGGCCCGGCCCCGCCGCTCCCCGGCCACCGCCGACCCGGAAGCGCCGCGCGGGGCGGAAGCGGCGCCGGCTCCGCTCCTCCCTCAGTCCCGGCCCCGCTCCTCCCTCAGTCCCGGCTCCGCTCCTCCCTCAGTCCCGGCCCCGCTCCTCCCTCAGTCCCGGTTCCGCTCCTCCCTCAGCCCCGGCCCCGCTCCTCCCTCAGTCCCGGCCCCGCTCCTCCCTCAGTC